ACTCATGTTACCCAGGCTGGAGTGCAATGGCGCGATCTCGGCTCACCACAACCTCCGCCTCCTGGGTTCAGGCAATTCTCCTGCTTCAGCCTCCTGAGTAGCTGGGATTACAGGCACGCGCCACCATGCCCAGCTAATGTTTTGTATTTTTAGTAGAGACGGGGTTTCACCATGTTGACCAGGACGGTCTCGATCTCTTGACCTCGTGATTCACCCGCCTTGGCCTCCCAAAGTGCTGGGATTACAGGCTTGAGCCACCGCGCTCGGCCAGAAGGGGTTTCTAAAAGCTGTTTCAAAGTGATTTATTTTTCACATCCTGAACATCCATGATGTTTTTAAGAAAACATTTTCAGCCGGGCGCGGTGGCTCAAGCCTGTAATCCCAGCACTTTGGGAGGCCGAGGCAGGTGGATCACGAGGTCAAGAGATCGAGACCGTCCTGGTCAACATGGTGAAACCCCGTCTCTACTAAAACTACAAAAAATTAGCTGGGCATGGTGGCGCGTGCCTGTAATCCCAGCTACTGAGGAGGTTGAGGCAGGAGAATTGCCTGAACCCAGGAGGCGGAGGTTGCGATGAGCCGAGATCGCGCCATTGCACTCCAGCCTGGGTAACAAGAGGGAAACTCTGTCTCAAAAAAAAAAAAAAAAAAAAAAAACAGAAAACATTTTCAGTGAAAATTTTTTAGGAATAAGTATATTTGAAGCTGTGCTTATTGTGTTGCTTGCTTTCTTGTGAAATTCTCCCACAGGCCACTACTCTTCTGTGGCTGCAACTCACCTTCGATTTCTCCCCAGGTTTCTGTGGTCATCTTCAACATCCTGGTCTTCCCAGCTTTTTCCTAAAATGCATACCCAGAAACATCATTATAAACTATTAGAAATTACAGAAAATTGTTGCAGTCTAATTTCCTGATGAGTTGTGACTCTGTCTGATTCAATCACCGAAGGATTCCCTTTCCACATTTCAGATCTTGGAACACAGCTGTGGAGCAAGGAACACTTGTTCTGCGTTCTGTGTCTAACTAAGGAGAGAAATGTTGATATCCTTACCTAGACAGACAAGGTTATTGAAGGTCTCCCGCATCACATCTTTGTAGAGCTTTTTCTGTGAAGAATCCAGCAAAGCCCACTCCTCCAGGGTGAAGTTCACAGCCACATCCTCAAAGGAGACTGAGTTCTGAAATATTCCACATATGTTTACAGGAGAATGGGTGAGACTGGTGGTACTGGGGACCTATACTCAATCTGTAAGAAGTTCACATATGGCCGGGTGCGGTGGCTCACATCTGTAATCTGAGCACTTTGGGAGCCCGAGGCGGGCAGATCACCTAAGATCGGGAGTTTGAAACCAGCCTGACCAACAAGCAGAAACCCCATCTCTACTAAAAATACAAAATTAGGCCAGGGACGGTGGCTCACACCTGTAATCCCAGCACTTTGAGAGGCCAAGGCGGGTGAATCACAAGGTCAGGAGCTCAAGACCAGCCTGGTCAATATGGCGAAACCCCGTTTCTACTAAAAATACAAAAATTAGCTAGTCATGGTGGTGTGCACCTGTGGTCCCAGCTACTTCGGAGGCTGAGGCAGGAGAATTGCTTGAACCTGGGAGGTGGAGGCTGCAGTGAGCCGAGATCATACCACCACACTACAGCCTGGGTGACAGAGAGAGACTCCATCTCCAAGAAAAAAAAAAAAAAAAAAAAAAAGAAAGAGTTTATAAGAACAACCTCCTATTCTTACTTTAATCAACCAACCTTAGCAATGATAGAAAGATCGCACCTTACGAGGTGAGTATTTGACTAAATGACAGCACTGTCTCCCAGCAGGAGATCTTGTCCCCTGGACACAGAAATACTTACTGACTACAGGAAAAAGAGGAGACTTAGAATTATATAGAATCTCCAACTTTTCTCCAAATTCTCACTAGACCTAGATTTGTTACACCTTCTGCAATATAGGCACCACACTGTTTTCTTCAAATCACTGATTGCATCAATATTTCCATAAGAATAATTTAATTGTTATTAATTTTATTTAATTTTTATTAAATTTTATTTTATTGTTCTGTAATAATAATTTAAAATTTCCGTAAGAATAATTTAAGGTACACTTTAATCCAGTTTTGCTTGCCACTCACCTAGTATTTTTAACTTCAACATCTCCCGTAGCCATCCCTGGAATAACTAGTTTCCTTGCTTAAGAACAACAACCTGGGGCTGGGTGCAGTGGCTCACGTCTGTAATCCCAGAACTTTGGGAGGCCGAGGTGAATCACAAGGTCAGGAGGTTAAGACCAACCAGGCCAATATGGTGAAACCCTGTCTCTACTAAAAATACAAAAATTAGCTGGGTTTGGTGGTGGGCACCTGTAGTCTCAGCTACTCAGGAGGCTGAGGCAGAATTGCTTGATTCTGGCCACTCGGGCTCAGAACGGATGTCAGGCCAGACCTGGCAGAACCTAGGTGCCGCAGCCAGGTTTCTGTTCCTTACGTTTGTGAACTAAGTGCAGCATTAGTAACCATTCGAGGCGTAGCTGAACCTACAGACTCCAAGGACGGTGGTGGTCTGGCTTGGCTACTAACCTTTTATGTAAGTTGTATTGCTTAACTGCTTAATGAAAGAGAAGAAAACAAATATTTTGCTTGACACATATTGCTGCTAGAAGCAACTCTCTACTATGCTGCTTAAGGAAGAGTTTAAGATGAAACTTACCCGTTGAGTATTGTTATATGTTAGTTGTTACAGTGTTGTGTTTAATTAGATACATATTACAGATCTGATCATTAATATCAAACATTGACACAAATAGACTAAAATAATTTTTTTTTTTTTTTTTATAGCGATAGGGTCTTTCTATGTTGCTGGTCTGAAACTCCTGGCCTCACGCCATCCTCCCACCTTGGCCTCCCAAAACGCTGGGATTATAGGTATGAGCCAATGCATGCAGCCTAAAATATTTCAGAATATAAAAGGAATACAACAGATATAACAAGACTACTACTGCTACTTCTGTTCCTACCGCTACTCCTAAAGCCATGAGAAAAATTCCTGACCCTCAAATACATCGCCAACTTATACCTAAAATCACATATGCCAAATTCACATTGGATGGCAAACAGTATATACAACTACCTTTATTTATTTATTTTTTTGAGACAGTCTCAAGGCTGGAGTGCAATGGCATGATCTTGGCTCACTGCAAACTCTGCCTCCTGGGTTCACGCAATTCTAATTCTCCGGCCTCAGCCTCCCGAGTAGCTGAGATTACAGGTGTGCACCACCATGCCTGGCTAATTTTTTTTTGTATTTTTAGTAGAGACTAAAAAAATATGGGTTTTGCCATACTGGTCAGGCTGGTCTTGAACTCCTGACCTCAGGTGATCTGCCCACCTCAGCCTCCCAAAGTGCTGGGATTACACGTGTGAGCCACCTTGCCCAGCCTGCAGTTTTATTTCTTAAGGGCAAGGTTTGATTTTAAACACAAACTTAACTCCCACGTTTCAACTACCACTTCCATACTCTCCTCTATCACACAGACACTTAATGAAATACAATCAATGATGACTCATATATATGACCTCACAGAATATCAAAAGGTGTTTAATTACAATACCGATTACAAGGTAGGCATCTTAAAAACCAATCTATTTACGTGAAGAAACTTGATGATGAAAGCCGGGCGCGGTGGCTCACGCCTGTAATCCCAGCACTTTGGGAGGCCGAGGCGGGTGGATCACGAGGTCAAGAGATCGAGACCATCCTGGTCAACATGGTGAAACCCCGTCTCTACTAAAATTACAAAAAATCAGCTGGGCATGGTGGCGCGTGCCTGTAATCCCAGCTACTCAGGAGGCTGAGGCAGGAGAATTGCCTGAACCCAGGAGGCAGAGGTTGCGGTGAGCCAAGATAGCGCCATTGCACTCCAGCCTGGGTAACAAGAGCAAAACTCCGTCTCAAAAAAAAAAAAAAGAAACTTGATGATGAAAGACTGACTGCAAACAACGTACTAAGCCAAGTACTTTACTAATTCAGACTTGGAATAACATAAGAAACACAACACAATCAAGAAAATTATTTACAAAGCATTGGCACACAGCAGCTATGGTTCAACGGGATACATCCAAACCATCAGGATGTGAAGATTCAAGGTAATGTATATTAAGCCTACTTGAATTAAGATGAGGAGACTTACTACTAGCTTTTGACCAAAGTACAGCTACAGATAAATGATCTACAAATACCCACATTAGAAAAACCATTATTTATTGATGAGATTTTATACAAAAATAATTAGTATTCCAAAAACAATAAAAAAAAATAATGAGTTTTCCAATGATGAAACACTATATACTATACCTTTCAGGATATGGTACCCAAAATACATTACTCACCTAACAGCATCAAAAAAAAAATACCCACAATCAGCCAGGTGCGGTGGCTCACGCCTGTAATTCCAGCACTTTGGGAGGCCGAGGCAGGTGGATCACGAGGTCAAGAGATCAAGACCATCCTGGTCAACATGGTGAAACCCCGTCTCTACTAAAATTACAAAAAAATTAGCTGGGCATGGTGGCGCGTGCCTGTAATCCCAGCTACTCGGGAGGCTGAGGCAGGAGAATTGCCTGAACCCAGGAGGCGGAGGTTGCGGTGAGCCGAGATCGCGCCATTGCACTCCAGCCTGGGTAACAAGAGTGAAACTCCGTCTCAAAAAAAAAAAAAAAGAACCTGAACAAGCTCACAATAAACTCCATCCATAAACCAAAGAAACTAAAAATCGTACACATTCACACAAGGGAGCAAAATTACCCGGAGCGAAGAGAAACTAAAATTAAGGGTGGCTAGAATTAATATTTGATCAAGGAGTCCAAAGGGAAGAAACTCAAACTTTCTGATCAGTTAGGATAAGGAGTCCCCTTCCCCGCAGTTCAAAAAGAAAGCCCACATTCAGAAGGTCGAAAACACTCGCAGGCTTGAGTGCTGGGAGCACTAGAGGGGGACAGTTCCTGGTGATGGGGACAATCCCTGGTGATGAGGGCAGGGGCGTCTGAGCAGCCACAGGAACCTCTGGGAGCTCCTCTTGTCCTCCTGACCCTGGCAGGCTTCGGTTCCCACAAGTGAGGAAACCCTGGGACCTCCCCAGGCTTCGGTTCTCACAAGTGAGGAAACGCGCCCGTGGATTCATCGTGAGGTTTCCAGCCAAGCGGATTCTTAAACGCACAAAACGCACAGACCGAGATGGGATCTCCCCAAGACCCTCCCGCTGTCACCGAACAATCCGGGGAGACGCGGGGCTGCGGGCGTGGAGCTGTCCAGTGAGGGGCTCCAGGGCCGGGGGCCGAGGCCGCGGCGCGGGGCCGGGACAGGACGCTGGGGATCCCGGCTGCCGGTCCAGCCCCCACGGAGAGAACCGAGGCCGATCTGGGCCCGCAGCGGCCCCGGGGTCTGCAGACCCTGGAGCTGAGTGCAAAGAGGTCCCGGCCTCGGCCACAGACGGTTCCAACCAGAAACCTTCCCTCGGACACAGGCCCCGCACACTCACCATTTCCCAGCGTTCGGGAAGTCCCGGTGTCCTCCCTACTGATGTCAGTACCTACAGGTCACGGCGCGACAATGGATGCAGCAAAGCCACCTACAGCCCTCAGGAGCAGGTGAGACGCAGTTTCGCCAAGGGCCAAGAATGGCGACGTCCGCAATACGCATGCGCGACGTAGCCCCGCCCTTTTGTCGCTGAGTGACAGCTGAGCCGGAAGAGGCGTGGTTGAGCTGGCCTAGCTTCAGACTGCCTTGTCTCTGCCAGGACTTTTGCATTTAAGCCAAATGTTTTCTTTGCCTCCCATCCATTTCATGTGTTCTCTTCAGTACTGTTAAGTACATTCACATTGTGAAACCAATTTCCAGAATTGTTTTCATCTTGCAAAACCGAAAGTCTGTCTCGTTACACAACTCCCCGTGCACCCGTTCCCTCAGGGTCTTTTGCAATTTCCATTCCACTTTCTGAATCGGTGAATTTGACTGTGGGAATCTCATGTAAATGGCATCATTAAGTATTTGTCCTTTTCTGACAGGCTTATTTCCTTCAGCATAATGTCATCGAGTTTCACCTTGTAGTATGTATCAGGATTTGTTTCTTCTTCTTCCTTCTCCTCCTCCTTCTTCTTCCTCCCCCTCCTCTTCCTCCTCCTCTTCCGCCTCCTCCTCCTCATTCTTCTGGCTGGAGTCTCCCTCTGTCGCCAAGGCTGAAGTGCAGTAGCACGATCTCGGCTCACTGCAACCTTCGCCTCCCCGGTTCAAGTGATTCTCCTGCCTCAGCCTCCTGAGCAGCTGGGATTATAGGCTCACGCCACCACGCCCAGCTAATTTTTGGGGGTTTTTTTAGTAGAGATGGGGTTTCACTATGTTGGTCAGACTGGTCGCAAACTCCCGACCTCAGGTGATCTGCCTGCCTCGGCCTCCCAAAGTGCTGGGATTACAGGCTTGAGCCACCTAGCCCAGTCTTCTTCATTTTTTTTTTTTTTTTTAAAGAGACAGGGTTTCGCTCTCTTGCCCAGGCTGGAGTGTAGTGGCGTGATCATAGTTCGCTGCAGCCTTCAACTCCTGGACTCAAGCAAGCCTCCCACTTGAGCCTTCTAAGTGGCTGGGACCACAAGCATGCACCACCAAGCCTGGCTAATTAATTGTTTTATTATATATATATATATATATATA